GTTCTGTTAATAGTTGCTTTATATATTCTGGTGCTCTATGACTGGTTGTGTATATAATGTGTTGTCTTCTTGATGTATTGCCCTCTTTATCATTATAAAATGTTCACTTTTGTCTCTTATTACCTTTTTCATCTTGAAATATATTTTGTCAGATATAAGTAACGCTACACTCGCTTTTCTCTGGATGCCGTCTGCTTGGAATATATCGTTTTCCACCCTTTCACATTTTGAGTCTAGATTTGTCCTTGCAGCTGAGATGTGTCTCTTGGAGGCAGCATATGGTTGAGTTTTGTTTCTTTGATCCAATTCGCTACTTTGTGCTTTTTTATTGGTGAATTCAGTCTATTTACATTTAAGGTGATTAGGTAAGAGGATTTCCTATAGGCATTTTACCTTTTGTTTTCTAGTAACTCAGTATCTCTTTTGTTTCTTTTCCCTTGTGTTTCTGTTATTTTAGTTTGGTGGTATTATATGATTCCCCCCCCCCCCCCCGGTTTCCTTTTTCTTTTATGCGTTTCAGTTCTGGATTTTTTTTTTGAGTGGTTACCATTAGGTTCATGCAAAAGAAACTTTCACATATACAGTAGTCCTATTTCTTCTGAATGCATCTTATCTCTATTCCCCTTTGCAAATTCAGACCTTTAACTCCCGTTTTTATGTTTTTGTTGTCACAAATTATCCCTATTTATGCTGGTTTGTTTCCAAATTGCAGTAGCTATTCGTCTCCTTTTTAATGTTTTTACCATTTTTAACCTTTATCTTATATTTAAGTATATAATGCCCTATTATGAATAAGGATTGCAATTTCCTGTTTCTGCCTTCCTGTTAGTCAAATTACTCCCAGTTCCATATCCTTTTGTCTTTTTTTTTTCCCAGGTAAAAAAACCCCCTTCAGTATTTCCTGTAATGCAGGTCTTGCGGTGGTAAATTCCCTCAGCTTCAGTATGTCTGAAAAAGTCTATTTCTCCATCATCTTTAAAGAACAACTTTGCTTATATTATTGCTTATATTATTCCTGGCTGGGAATTTTTCTCTCTCAATGGTTTGAATGCTTGATACCACTCTCTCCTAGCTTGTAGGGCTTCTGCTTAAAAATCTGATGATAATCTAATGGGATTTCTTTGATGGGTTACTGTCCTTTTTTCTTTTCCCTGGCTGCCTTGAGCATTCTTTGTCATTAATTTTTGACAGTTTTAATATTATGTGTCTTGGAGAAGGCCTTTTTGGATTGAGATAATTAGGTGTTCTGTTTGCTTCTTGGATTCAAAGATCTAGCTCTTTCCATAGGTTTGGGAAGTTCTTGTCAATTATTTAAACAGGCTCTCTGCTCCCTTCTCCCTCTCTTCTCCTTCTGGTATACCCACTATTCTCATATTGCTTTTCTGACGGAGTCAGATAGTTCCTGGAGAGTTCTTTCATTTTTGTTGTTTACTCTCGTCTTCTTCCATCTGTGTCATGTCTAAATTTCTACCTTCGATATCACGAATTCCTTCCTCTATCTGGTGAACTCTATTTCCTAAGCTCATTAGTGCATCATCTCTTCTACTGAATTCTTTAGCTCCAGAATTTATATTTGGTTCTTTTTTACAGTTTCAATCTCTTTGGTAAAGTACTCCTTTTGTTCAGTGATTTTATTTCTGAGTTCATTAAACTGCCTTTCTGAGTTTTCTTGTATCTCACTGAGTTATTTCCCAAAACTGTAATCTTGAATTCTCTGTCATTTAAATCACATATTTTCATGCACTTGTTTATTTTCTGGAGATTTTTCGCTTCCTTTCTGAGCTGCATTGTTACCTTGGCTATTCGTGGTATTTGAGAGATTATTTCTCTGCCTAGGCATTTATAGGAATGAAATCTGCTGTTTTAAAGAGTGACACTTCCCTATTCAGCAGGTTAGTAAGAAGAGATCTTTTACTCCAGTAGATGGCACTGAAGCACCAAATTTTTTATTTTCTCCCTTCTGGATCTCTGCTGGGTGGTAGAAAATGGCCTGTATTCCTTGGGGAAGTGGGCATCTCCTCTGTGACCAGGACTCCTTGGTTTCAGGGCACCACCCCTATGGCAGAATGTGGTGGGTAATCAGGTTTTAAGCCCATGAAATCCCAATGCTGTCCCCTACAACTGGACCCTGCCAGCAGTGCTGCACTGCCCGAGGTATCCCAGATGCCCCTGCTGGGATCAGCCGAGATGAGTGGGGGCAGGGTGAGTGGGCAGAGGCCTGCTTGTGCATCTGTGGCTTTGGTCTCCTCCCATTAACAGCGACTGCCAGACCTCAACTGCATCACCTCTGTATTTCCACCTGTCAGTGGGATTAGCCACAGCATGCATCTGCTGCTCAAGGAAGAATGCTTCTGCCTCTGGTTCTCAGGGCTGCAGATAGTGTGCTCTGTAACACAACATTCACTGCTTACAGCTTCTTCTGGGGCATGTTGCTAGCTCCAGTAGAGTCTGGGAGGGTGAAAGGATATGGCCAGCCTCCATGGCTCTGTTTTCTGCCTGGCAATGGTGGCTGCTAGAACACAAGTGCAGCACCTCTGTGTTCCTTCTGCTCTGGTCCCTGGATTCAGCCACAATGTGCTCACCCCTCAGGCAGGAATGCTTAGTCTCCCTCTCTGCTCCTCAGGGCTGCAGTGAGTGCATGCTGCAACCTGATTCCTCCCCTCTCCCGAGACCCACAGTGAGCTCTACCGGCTGCATCCATGGCACTTGTCTCTGCTCCTCTCCTTTCCCTCCTCCCGTTCACTCAGATTCGCCCATCTTCAGGTGTTTCATCATGCAGCTCTCAGACATGTTTGTATGTTGAATAGGGAATCCTTTGTTGAATTATAGTTGTTCATCTTGTTTTAAGTTCAAGGGGAGAGACCAGGGGGACCTGTCACACCACCATGCTTCTGACATTACTCTCCTAGTTCTCTGCTTCTGTCTAATAATGATATATCTTGTACTTTACCACTTTCTAGCTTGGATCCTATTCTGATGTTATCTCTGTAATGTCAACTACACTTGGAGAAAACACTAGAAGACAAAGACGCAAGTTCAAAAATGATGACTAGAAAGAAGTTTATAAATTCTACAGATATTCTAACATATCAAGTACAGGAGTACCCTCATACACTTTTCTATAATATATAAGTAGTTTCTCTGTGACTTATACACACACAAAAATTAAGAATATTTGACATATTACTGTTTTTTTTTTATCCTGAGCAACAGACAATTCTATCATCATTTAAAAACAACACATGCCACATAATCATTTGATAAGCCCTCTTAAACACATGCCCCTCACACAACTTGAAATAATAAACAACTTTTAGATTTAAAAGTCAAATTGTTTGTTGCTATTTCTTGAGATTTGCTTAAAAGTTAAACTACTCGTATACTGTCAATTAATAACTGAGCTTATTAAACTTCCAGCATAGTCCTTAAGTTGGAATTTTATATTAGAGTTGGTAGAAACCTGAATGATCACCCGTTTGCAGATGAGGGAAAGGATTCACAAATATGAAGTAATGAGTCCAAGGCAAAATCAATGATAAGTGACAAAACCAGATTTCATGATGAACTCTAGAGGGCCCCTCTATTACAAAACGCTGATTCATATTTCAAATTAAGATTAGGGGTCAGGTAAAGACATTAATGGAAGAAAATATAAGTAAGTCAGCTTATAGATGAACTCTTGTGACTTGGGTCCATATTTACTCTTGATAAACAATGGACATGAAAGGACAATGCCTAAACCCTTAGGCAGAGATGGAGGTGGAGGATGAAGAGCAATTGAAAGAATAAAGGTCTTTGGTGTGTTTATTTTTTATTTTTTATTTTATTTTATTTTATTTTTTTGGCAATACTGTTTTTTGAACTATTTTATAGGTAATTAAAATCAGTAATGCAGCTTTACCTGTCCCAACTAAACTACCTTTTTTTCCCTTCAATTTACAAATAAACAGGCTGAGACAGAGATCAGGACCAAGCCTAGAAACATATTTTAAATTCTGAACTATTTCAAATATGCAGAAAACAGTAGTTTATCTATTAGCTCTGAAAATACTAATATTTTGTCATATGATCTTCATATATTTTTTTTAAATCGAGCATTACATATAGATTTGGAGCTTCCTGTATCCCATTTTATTTCTCTTTCTGCCCAGAAGTGATGATTCTAGCATGGATTTCTTTACTTTTTCTTTTGAGATTTGACATTAGTACACATATCAAACACTGCTAAATGGTATTCCATTGAATGAATATGCCACAATTTGTTTATTCATTGCCCTGTAGATAGAAATCTGAGTTGTTTCCAATTTTTAACTTAATATAGACACTCTTGCAATCAACATATCTGATTGTTTGCATATGTGAGCTTATCTAGAAGTAAAGAACTGGGTTGTGGGGGGTACATGTCTTCAGCCTTGCCAATCTGCTTCTCAAGGTAATGCATTCCCTCCAGCTGTGTATGAGAACTCCTATTTCAGTCCATATTCACAAACATAATTATAATTAGTATATTTAGAGTATCTAGTTTTTTCATTCAACCACCAAGTGGGCAGAGACAGGCAACAGGCCTGTTTGAGGTTCTACTGGTCCATTATTTTATTATCTATACCTGTTGTCTGTTCTGCTGAGATAATTTAACTGAATTTCTTTTGCTTCAAACTTATTAACAGGAAAAGTCTTAAATGCTCATTTTAAACTTAAAAACTCAGGAATATTTTCTCTAAGTGCAGCACTGAAGTAAGACAGCAGGGAAAACTAAGTTGGATGATTCTGCTTATCAAATTAGTAATTTAAAAAATATCACTTCTTGTCAAAAAATACTTTTTAAAAATTTTCTTTAAGTATAGTTGGTATACAATCTTATATTGATTATAATTAGTTTCAGGTGTACAATATAGTGATTCGACATTTTTACACCTTACAATGTAATGACCCCACTAATTCTAGTAGTCATCTGCCACCGTGTAAACTTATCACAATATTATTTTTAACTAATATCTTACCTGTGTAAAATAAGAACATTCTTCAGACAATGCCTTGTGAAGTTTTCCAATGAGCATTTGTAAAGGCTTTACTTCATCACCTAATAGAAGATATTGCATTAAGACATTCAATTTACATATACTTAAGTACTATTATATTAAACCTATGTCAACTGGAAGCTTCCCTATATTAAGATAAGTTTTAACTTCTTTATTTCTTTCAAAGTTATTTTCCTCTGATCAGTGTTACCAGTCTCGGATAATCTACAGGATTTCATTTCTATCCTACAAAATGGTATAAAGCCACAACTTACAATTTTTTTTATTGTAACCCAATACAAGAAATAAATCATATATCATAACCTGTCATATACATCCATGTAAAACTGAAACAAAAATTCCACAAATCAATATTTACTTTTTCTACATGCCATGCACTCCAATGTTTTCTCTTCTACTCCACTCTTTAAAATGCTGTTCACTACTCACTACACTGACTTCATCACCCAATAGTTAACTTGCAGCTTGAAAAACAGTGGAGAGATTCTATCTGAAGAGAATACCAACAAAAATAATACAGCTTAAAATCTTATTAAAATCAAACCCAAAGAACTTCTGAAGTGAAAAAGTACAGTATTCTTATTTAAGTCACTCTTTAAATTCTACTCTGTTCAACAGAGCAATTCCATGGGACAAACTTATGAACCACCTCATTCCAACAGGCAGATCTGTCAAGAGTAGAAGCCTAGAGATTACTCGAACAGAGGATGTCTACTTAAATCTATTTAAGATTCCTTAACCCTAGCAGACCGCTGTACCGATTTTTCGGTAATTTCTAATCATATCTTATCTAATCATATCTGTGTTGTGTGCATGGAAAAGCACTCCAGGTACAACAAGCAAAATCCTGGAGTGTCTTACAAAGACAATCCATGCAAGAAGGTGAAGAGTAACATCTGGTGCTCACTTTGCAAGAAGTACCTCTGTGTGAAGCAAGGCTCATCCTGCTGGGTGGATTGGCACACAAAGGTGGAATATTGGCGCTAGATGAAAGGTAGACCTATTTTCTACAATGTCTCCAAGTTCCATCTTACTCTAACCACTTGTTTGTATGTAACTAACATATTTCTATATCATGTTGGTTTTTTCTCTTTAATGCTCAGGAGCCCAGGTATAGGGGACAGTTAGGTTCAGGGCCTCAGGTCTGGTAGGGTTAAATGTTGTTGCTTCCTGTAGTACCATCTTTGTCTTTTGGCTCACTCTATAGTCTCCCAGGACATCTCTCTCTTGTCCTTGGCTTCAATTGACTTGATTTCCAAATCTTTATCTTGAACCTAAACTTCCCTCTTGAGTTTCAGACTTCTACTTTCAACTGCCTACTGGACATCTCTTTTTCAGAGTCAATAGGTATTTTTAACTCAATATGTTCCACATTGAATTTATTATTTTTCCCACAAATTCACTCCTCATCATCTTCATGACTGGAGTCACTCATGATCCAGTTACCCAAGCTAGAAACTTAGGGATCATTCTCAATTCCTCCCCCTTTTACTGCTAATATTAACTGTAGACTACGTCTACAAGCCTACGTCTTTAAACTCTTGAACTTTTCTTTCCATCCTTAATGACACTTAGTTCAACATCTTATTATCAGAATTACTGCCAAAGCAGCTTAGCTGGTCTTCTCATTGATAATTTCACCACCCCTAATTAGCTCCAATGGTGTCCTCTTAAAATAAAAATCTTACTATGTTAAATAGTTAAATTTTCAATAGTTACCCCCACTATTTTAAACCCTGCACTACATCTTATCATTGAATAGAATAAAGCTTAAACATGCTTCGGTCAGGGTACATACAGCTTTTTCTGATCAAGCTCCTTCCAATCTTTCAGGCTTTATCCCTCACTACCTTTTCACATACCTTGAACTCTCAATTCTCCAAAATGGATGCAGTCTTTCACACCTGTGTTTAAAACTCAGGAGCCAGCCCTAAAATTCCAACCTCTCTACTCTTGCCCACTGCCTCACCCTAATTATACTTCTAGAAAATAGTAGACTTTTCTCCTCTCCTTCCATTTTTTTCTATTCATTCTTCTATTATAGACAGTATCCTATTGTTTGCTAACAGTTTATTTTATATTGCTTTCCCACAGGACTATGACTTCCTGTGGGAAAACGATTCAATGATTTTAGATTTCTCAAGAACTTAATGAATATCCAATGATAATATGAACAAATTAATCCAAGACTAGGATATACAGTTACCTTCCTCTATGGGTTCTAAGACAAAGACAGAATCACAGAATGGTGGCCTCTAATGATACTTACTGGCTTCATAGTATTTATAATTTTGTCAGAAATCATTTACCTGCTTCTTGTGTTTTTATGTTCTGTAGCTCTAACTGGTGTATTTTCTGAAGTTCTTTGATCTTTTCCTCTTGAGCAGAAATAAGCTCCTCTTTAAGACTGCAGAGAGCTTTATCTTTTTCATTTTCCAAGTATTCACGAACCTGATCCACATGAGTTGAATAAACCAGAGAGAGGCATATACGTTGAGCTTCCATCTGTAGCCTTAAATCATTCTTAAAATGAATGTATATAAACATTAAAAAATTTTTAACTGACAAATCAAATAATTCTATCTTCTTGAACATACTGACTACAAAGGGGACATACATAAAATTATAGTTAAAAAATTCCTATAAGAGAAGTGAAGTTTAATTTTATCTTGCTTTTCATTCTGTTACCTTGATCTACTTGTCTTTTTCAAGAGAAGTAACATAATATTTTCATTACCTCAACTTCATGGTAAATTGTGATATTTAGTATAGTTAACATGGCCTCATCTTTGATTTCTGCTTTAAAATATTTTAAATGNCAAGGACACAAGAGCACTGGAATAACATGATCTGTCTCAAATTTTAAAAGCAAAGTTCTGGAACGCTGTTGAGAACAGACTCTGGGGAATAGCTAGGGTAGAAGCAGAGAGATGCAATAATCCAGGTGAGACATGATAGTGAGAACTGGTCCAGTTCAGATGTATTTTGTAGGTAGAGAAAACAGGATTTATTGATAGATTGGAAGTGAGGTCTGAGAGACAGAAGAGTCACCACAGGTGGAGATGGCGGCAGTGGGACTTTGAGAGGAGATGCAGAATTCTATTTTGGACAGTGAATCTGAGCATTAGACAACCAGGTAGAGGAAATCCAGCCATGACTGGGAATGATCATAGCTTGTAGTCCTCGTGTATTCCCCACATCAAAGTAAAGACTAGGCTTACAGTAAATAACAAACACATACTACTGCCTCATTGAATCCAGCAGGTTAATAACAACAAGCATCTTTATAAAATATAGGTATAAGTAAAACTCCTATAAGAAAATGTCTTTGGTTTATACCAACATTTATTTCATATTTCTAGATAAAGAATTACCTCCTGTTCTCATAGCTTGATAATGCTACATCCTATCTCTTTCAAACAGCTTTGCTTCAGTTACATTTTTTTCTTAAAACACCGATATTATGATTGCTACTAAGCTACAAATACTACTGAATGAAATTATACATAAATGGATACCTTGGCTGAACTGTGGACTCACTAACAACGTGAAGCCTTGTCTGCAAAGAGTGGATCTCTGCCCCATAGTTTTCTTCAGTTTCTTTCAATTGTTGCTGCAAAGAGGATACGAGGTTTTCTAATTCTTGGACTTGTCCTTCAAGTTGTTTAATTTTTTCAATATCTTGCAGAGTAGATAACTTGGTGTTATGAATGACATCTAATTTATACAAACAGAAGAAAATATATATTCAACACAAATTTCCTAGTAAAAAATCACAATAATTTTTCTGTGTGTGCAGAGAATATTCATCTTCTTTGAAAAAAGAATGCTTAATAGTAATAACTAAGGTTTCAATTTAAATTCATTTTGACTGATGAATCCAGGAAGTATGAGTAGTATAATTCAAGATCACATCTATCTTTAAAACTACAGTACCCCTAAGTCTACCATTTTTATGTTTTTAAACTGCAAACAATTTAGAATTATAGAATACATGAAATTGAGAAGGGAACAAAGAGATGAGTCCAAACCTTTCATTCTGAGGATGAGAAAACTGAAACCAGAGAGGTTATAGTGAAATGCCCAAGATTACTAAGTTATCTCAAATTTTAAAGGAAAAAATCAAATCATTAAATGTTTGATATAAAAATCACAATTGTGGTATATAATCAAAATTTACCAATGTCTTGCAAATTGGTCATCTGAGAATGGGTTGATAAAAACTCTGTTTCCTCTTTTGGTAGATTTTCTTCTGCACATTCAAGTTTCACATCATCTGTCTGCCGTCCCTGAATTTATTGAAAATAATAGATGAAAAGCAGTAACATAAATATATGATCCTCTGTCTGAAAAACCACATTAAAGCAACTTAACATTTAAAATGATTTTTTTCCAAAATCATCTAAAATTGTGATTCTCTGCTACAAATATTTTCCCTTCTAAGTTATTCTATGTTCTTTTGACAGTAATGCACACCCATTCCCTTCAGTTTTGAAATTATATTAGTTAAGTATAATGTTTTTTCATTCCCAGAAAGGAGTTCATTTACTACAAAAACAGGAACTACACAGAATTTTGGTATAAAACTCATAACAATATTTATATGACTGGGTTTTTGAAATTTCAACTCATACACAGTAAATTTTCTATTATCAATGCTTGATAATATAACTTGTTAATCTCTGGATATTACGTATGTACAACCTGGTAACTGACAAATGGTATACTACTCTTTACACAAAAGGAAGAAAAATAATGAAAACAAATAAATGTCAGCTTCTTTCCTTAATTATTAAAACTAGGCAGCAATGTGTCAGATGCATATATGTGTATTAATTTAGTCATTCATCAAATATTTAATAATCATCTACTATGTGGCCAGTAATGTGGCAAGAGAGAATAAGAATAGAAAATCAGTAAAAATATGGTATATCTGCCCTCACAGACCATATCAACTAGCTGGGTAAATAAAATAAAACACTAAGAGAAGTGCTAAACTATAAAGTTTGACCATACGGGCCATGACAGAGAAGAAAAACCGATGTGAGTAAATACAGAGGAGTCAAATTTGATTTGGGCCTCAATCATTTTGGGCAATGACTAGGAAAGGCAATAATGAAGAAAGAGTAAAAGCATTTGTGGAAGAATGACCTATGCTCTAATTAGTGAAGACAATGATCTTATTTAAAGGGGTTTAATTTGGAAAAGAATGGGGAAAATACACTAGATAAGATACATCTGGACTACCGAGCACTTTAAAAGGGGAAAGAGACTGAACTTGCTAGACTAGATGAACAAAGGACACTGTAGAAGCAAGTAAGCAACTGGTAAAAGCTAGTTCCCATGAAGGCTATTTCAGCTGGTTAGTACTCTTATCAAGTCCTCTACCCCACTCCTACCCCGAGTACATTTCAACAGAGGATCTTGCCTCCTACTTCCCATAGAAAATAAATCCATTCAGGTACCTTTTTTAGTTTCCACCTCAACCTTTCTGTATCTTAATTCATTCAGCAAATATTTATTAAGCCTTTACCATGTGTCAAACAAAGCACTGTGCTAGGAAGAGAAATAAAAAAAACAAGAGAAGTCTCCCTGATTCTAAAGCACTTAGAATCTAGCAGAAGAGGCAGAAAAGTAAACAAACAATAAAAATACCATAAAAAATGTGATACAAATGTATATTTGTACAAGGAATTATGGGAACATGGAAGAAAGGCAGGAGGGTAAATGAAGTATTTAAATAACGGGAAACGGTCCCAGACAAGAAAAAGCTAAAGGAGTTCATCACCACCAAACCATTACTACAAGAAATGTTAAAGGCACTTCTTTAAGAAGAAAAAAAGAATAAAAAGTATGAATAATAAAAAACAATAACTACATATCTATCAATAATTACTTTAAATGTAAATCAATTAAATCTTCCAATCAAAAGACATAGGATGTGTAAATGAATAAGAAAACATATGCTGCTTACAAGAAACTCACTTCACATCGAAAGACACATACGGACCGAAAGTAAAGGGGAGGAAAAAGATATTTCATAAAAATTGAAAGACAAAGAAAAAAGAAAAGCTGGGGAAGCAATACTTACATCAGACAAAATAGACTTTAAAATAAAGGCTATAACAAGAGACAAAGAAGGACACAAAATCCCACTTCTGGGTATTTATATGAAGAAACCCAAAACACTCTGGAAAAGACATATGCATCCATAAGTTCACTGCAGCATTATTTACAATAGCCAACATATGGAAGCAACCTAAATGTCCATCAATAGATGAATGGATAATGAAGATGTGTACATATATACAATGGAATATTACTCAGCCATAAAAAAGAATGAAATCTTGCCATCTGCAACAACATGGATGGACCTTGAGGGTATTATGCTAAGTGAAATAAGTCAGACAGAGAAAGACAAATATTATGATTTAATTTACATGTGGAACCTAAAAAATAAAACAAATGAAACAGAAACAAATTTACAGAAACAGACAACAAACTGATGGTTGCCAGGTGGGAGGAGAGTTAAGGAGATGCGTGAAAAAGGGGAAGGAATTAAAAAGTACAAATTGGTAGTTGCAAAATAGTCATGGGACTGTGAAGTACAGCAGAAGGAATACAGTTAATATTGTAGTAACTACGTATGGTGTGAGGTGCACACTAGATTTATCAGAGTAATCACTTCATAAGTTATATAAATGTCTAAATCACTATGTTATACACCTGAAACTAATATAATATTGTATTCAACTGTAATTGAAAAAAAATTATTTACAAATAATGGAAAAAGGTAAGTGCAATAAACAAAGGCTTAAAAAAAAAACAACAAAAAAATAGGCAAAGGCTTGTATGAAGTGCTGAGAGAATGGAGGAAGAAACGTCTTAGTCTAGGAAGATAGGGAAAGATGATGACACA